CCCCAAAACCCCAAAACCCCAAAACCCCAAAACCCCAAGAGGAATTATCAAAATGAAACTATTGTTAATGCTTTAAAAAGATAAAATGGTTTCTAAAGTTTATGAATATCATATCTTAATTACAACAAAGGTGGAACACCTTTGTTGAAGAAGATAGGGTCATCTAGAAAGTATTAGAATTCCTAAAATAGTAGCAGATCTTAGCATGGCAAAGGTGGCCACCTTTTCCTTGCGAAGATGTTATAGTTTTAATTCTATCTTCTAATATCTCTCCTTCTTCGATGTTTAAAGGCTATTATCCGTTTTTCCTTTATGATAATATTTTTCTATATTTATAAGTCAGCTCTTGAATGAAAATTGTTGAGAATTACAGTTGATTCGTGAACTAGAGACTCCATTATGTCTGGTTCGGAGGTATTTCCAATACCTGATTTGCTATTTCTTTGGCTTTTCTCTCAGTTTCGCTTAGAGTAATGGTTTCTCATTAATCTAGCAAGACCACCATTTGTGTTAAAAGTTTTCTTGAATTTAGTTAGCCGATTCATATTCGGAGTTTTTGGAGATAATACTATGTATTAGATTAAGCCAAGAGTTACATCAGGTTAACTTCTGAGGTTTATTAAGCTGATTCATAAATTCTAGAATATCAGTTTCTTTTTCATGATTTTCTGGGGCTTCCACTTGCTTCTCTACAGTGCTTTGTGTTTCAAAAAGCCCGCAGTTGATACTTCGCTTTGTTTTAACAATGTTTCTAAAATATATATCCGAAAATACTGATATTTTGTGGAACTGTTTTCATTAAGCGTTGGCATTTCAATGGCTCCAGAAGTAGTACCTCCAAAATATGTTTGTGAGAAAGCTGGACTTGTGACATTAAGAATATCTTCATTCATAATTCTGGATTCTCCTGATTTTATAACCCGAATGGCATTCCCATATAATTTGTTTTGCTAAAAAGTGCACTTAATTAGGTTATTCTAAGCAAGATGCATAATTAAGATTGACACTTACCTTCTTCTACTTCTTTGGCTTTTACATGTTTTCTCTTTCCGAAGAAAATTATTTATATTAGGAGGATAGACGTGAAGAGTACTCTTCCGATGCCACAGTCTCAAACCTATAAGCATAAACCACAAAGTATACCCTTTCATTTAAGCGAGGGGCTGAAAATCTTAGTAGTTTTCTCTCTTTTCCTATTTTGCAATGCTCGTAATGCCTTTCGTAGAGTTGAATTTGGACTTAAAAGCTGACTGAGCCTCTGAGGCTCCTTAGCTTCAGTCTTAATAACCTTATTCATCCTTCTCTTGTCTTGTCTAAAGCTTTTGGTATTCTTAAAGTTCTCTTCAGTGAGCAAAATGTTGCTCCATTTAAGAGTCTGATTGATATCCTTTCTAAATAAGACCATTAGTTATTACAAGTCATGGACAACACGTTTTGAACGTACTTTTGCAGCATATATATTTCAATAAATAGTTTTAAATTTGGGGTTTTGGGGTTTTGGGGTTTTGGGGTTTTGGGGTTTTGGGG